AAAAAAAAGGAAAAAACGACACCCAAAGCTCTGCGCGCTCTATATATTCTGTAGGGGCTTTTATAGTGCTTGTAGTACATGCTGTTCTGGAAGTGTCACACATGCATTTGTTGTTGTGAACTCAAACGCTGTAGAATCTGTAAAGATGCAAGATTAAATTTTCCATTGCCATTTTTACAGATAACAGCCCGTCGACAATGGAAACATATTTATGATGAATTAGGTGGTAACCCTGGAAGCACAAGTGCTGCTACATGTACTCGCAGACATTATGAAAGGTAAGATAACAAATCTGAAATGCTTGTTTAATAATGAAAAAATTAATTTGGAGAGCCTTCAAAGCGTTTTATAAAGAATTAGAGAAAGAGAGAGAGAGGATTCTTAAAGATATAGTAAATATTCCCCCAACAGTTTAGTCAGATAATCCATTGTAATTTAAACCAGAGTGTGTGTCTTTGGTGACTAAACAAATAAAATAAGAATCTGATTTTTCTTTGGTACATATCTTAATTTTTACAGCAGTTTTCTCAGTAAAGAAGCCAAAAAATAGAGCAAAGCATACTCAAGGAGAAATGAGGAACGACAGCTAATTGATGCAAACACTTGTCTTTTGTCGTTTTTTAGGAATACCAATTAAGCAAATCGTGGTTGTGATCAAAATAACGGGGCGGCCCACAATGCAGGGTGCTGTTAATGTTGTAGGTCATGCAGAGCATTGCATTCCTCTTCTTCACTGCATTCCTTCCCTCCTCCCTGCCTGCAAGCTGCTGCCAAGCACTCTTTCTCTGCAGCCATTGTTGCTGGTCAGAACTGTTGATTTCTTATTCTTCGCATGTAGATAATAACTTCCAGGGCTTGTGAAGCCAACACACATTGAATAAAATACTGGAGCTGGAATGTTGTTTTGGTTTGCTTTGGTTTTTAGAAACAACTCTTTTTTTTTTTTTTTTTTTTTTTTTTTTGTAAGACAAGCGAATGTTAATAAAAGCTCTGCAATTTCAGGCTCAGATAAGAAAAGTCCAATCTCTTGTTTCTGGGCATAAGCCAGTTACTGTACTGAGCTCAGGATGAGGTTGTACTTGCCTGTGCAGAAGGTGGCACAGCAGAGCTGTGCACGTTGGGCAGTTTTTCAGCCTCTTTTTGTGCCTTACATGTTGGCCACTCCAAGGGAGACACTGCCCTTGTCATGGAGGGTTGGTTAACAGCCCTCATTTACAGGAGGCATCTCCACCACAAGGGCTGGGGTGAACAAAGAAATTGCATCAAATGCACCAAAACAGTTAGAGTTAGAAGCTTTCCAGAGATCGATCCAAGCAGCAGAGCAAATTGTGTGCGTTGCTGTACACATCAGACGGGATTTTCCCTGCCGTTGCATTGCTGACAAATGTTAAAGATTGCTGTAATTGACTCATCTGATTGTGGGTATTCGGCTCTTCCCCTCTGTTATTACAGCCCTGGTAGGCTCAAGGCTTTCTCTTGCACCCAAGCCAGTTGATTGGTTTGAAGCTGGTAGTCTGGGTCTTCCCTCACCAGACATGCTGTGCAAAATACTTCTCAGAGGAGACCCAGGCACACGCGAGAGTTGGGGCTCTGCGGGTTTGGGTCGCGACTCGGGCTCTGTGATGAAATCCGAGATTCACTGAGAGAGCAAGTCTCTTGTAGCAGTGGAAAACTAAATGAGCCGTTCACAAATACTCCATGAACCCTTCTCTCTTTCTTCTGCTTTCATGCTAGTGGTTTATTATTTTACATGCAAAACCCTGGAATTGCATTCTTCTTTGATGCGCAGAGGCTCCTCTGTGTGACTTAGTTACTTAGGGATGTACTACAAAGTCCATTACACTCACTAGAAAAGCTCAGCAGACTCACCATGACTTGAGAGTTCAGCAGCCTTTCCCAGCTACCCAAAACCAATTCTGCTTGCCCCAAGCCAGTCTGAGGGAGGACACAACTATAGTTGATGGTTAGGATGGGTCTTAAGACACCAAAGAGCTCAAATGTGAGCCATTGGGTTCCAGAGCCACTGTGTAATTCTGGGTTCAGTCTGATACAAGGCAGGACCTATTTTTCAGGTCTTTATGGCAGGCTGTCATAGGACGGCATTTGGAGAAAAAGTCTTGTGGGATTTTTTACATCAGCCCTGAGCTAACCTAAAATATGCTTTTCCAAATCTGGTCTGAAAAACGAAAACATGTATAGAAAGAAAAAACTCAGTGACTGGTCCAATTTCTAGATTTCTAGCATTAGACACTTTTTTCCACCATGGGAAAGCTGTATTAAGCCTCAGACTTGGAAAAAAGTAAATTAAATTGTCATGGTTTGTTTCAGCTGGTAATTCTAACTACAGCACCTGTAAATGTAATGTTCATTTATAGCCGAAGTGCTCAGATGACATTTAATCTAAAACTAGAACTGCAGCACAGGAATACACATTCATGATTCAGGACACACGTACATTTTCTAACTTGAAGGTGAGCTGTAAAGCTAAACTGGAAATTGAATTAAGCTGGGAAGTAAATGCTGAATAAACCTCATGATTTTTCCTTTCTGAATCCCACGGGCCTTTCCCTGCTTACCGGAGGCAGAACATGAGGTTCCCTGGCGTCACCAGTACCACTGCTGTTTGGCTTAGCCTTGCCATTTGTCTCTACAACTAGATGTCAGGGGCAGCCGTGTTGAGATAACTAGCTTCTTTCCAACATGACAGAGAAGCTACCAGCTGTTTACACTGGCTTGAGCATACCATGGCTGCATAGCTGGTGCGACCTTTCAATGACATCATTAGGATGCTGCGGAGCGAAATGGCACGTGCCCTCCTCTGCTTGTAACTTCTAAAAAGGCAGGATATGGCTGCAACCCCCCGGTACCAAGGTGGCAAACACTAAAGCAGAGCCAGAAGCAGAGGAGTCAGGGCATGGCCAGATCTGCAGGGGCTGCTCTGCTCCCCCTCCAGCACCCAGGCGGGGAGGAGAGGCTGGGTGCTGCAGGTGGGCAGAGCGCCTGGGTCAGCGAGGCGATGGCTTTGTTTCTCTCCTAAAGGGGAAAGGAAGATTTTGTGTGCACTGTCAGCTGATTCATTTCATGAAGTACAGTTTGGGTTTCCAGTAAGTGGTTTCATTTTAAAACAAGGCGAGGTTGCCAGTTTTTCAGTAAGTGTTGTTTGTATATTAGTTAGACAACTTTTGTTTTATTAATGAGTATAATAATGAAAGTGCAGGTTGCTGAGTGGAAGCAATGGGTGTTTTTATTTAAAGCATAGCAGGAATCACATAGTGCCAATGAATGCGTTATTGTCACTGTAGGCATGGCTGGTCTGAACCTGCCTCAGATTGGGTTATTTCACATAGGCCCAAGCACTTCATAAAAATGTCTTTGTCAGCCTAGTTTCCCTTCCAAACCTATTCATCTCTGTCAGTTTTTAATATTAGTACCAGGCTCTTGGCTATAGTCCATTAGTACTGTACTTAATTGCTCGTGTTACAGATGATTACCAATATAAAAAGCATTAATGTTTCCCCATCGCAGGGCTGTTGCTCTCTACATGATTCAGACTGTACAGAGCTTATGCGTTGTTGTTGTTTTGGTCATTAACTTTCTTTGTTTGTGCTCCTCTCCGTGCAGTCACCTTGCCCAGTCATGCAGCGTAGGGGCGTGAGCAGCTGGTGTTGGCTGGTTCGGGCCAAGCCTTTCCTGGGAAGCGGCGAGGTCCTTGTCAGTGCCCTGCATCTCTATGTTGTCAGGAAACCCTCAGAAACGGCTACTTTTCTGCGAAGCACCCTTCTCCCCGCCGCCTTCCCCTAATAATGCAGATGTGGTTTTCACATGCAGGGGTTGAGGTTTCTTTCGCTTTTACACAAAACACATGATCAGCAGCTTTACTTATCCTGCGTAAACGATAGGCTGTGTTTCTGCAATGCTGGTGACGTTGTCGTTAGGGATTTTTCATAAATATCACACCTCCACCCCCTCAAAAAAAAAAACATCAACAAAAATCCACCACCGACTTGCTATTTCACAAGGTATAAGAAGTTCCAAATAAAGCTCACTGAACAAAACAAAAATGTGAGCTGTGGCCTGCTGGGGCCTTTTCTGCCTCAAAGCCTGGCCGCATTTCATCTCTGCTTCCTCCGAAGCAAGCCCCACTCGCTCGGCAGCCCCAAGCGACCCGGCCGGGGCTGGGGATGTGGGGTGCGCTGCGGCGTGTGGTGCTGCCCCACAGCCACCTGGCCGGCAGATGTGTCACCTTGGAAGGGGCCACGCGCTCCCAGGATTTGGAAGCAAGCAGGTAGGGTGTCTTGTGCAGCTCAGAGCCCCTTCTGCCGTTTTTCTGTCGTAACCGCTCACATAAATATTACACATTATCAGAAACACAAGGCAGGTCAAAGTCAGTCCCTTACATGGTTTCCTTGTAACAACCGTAAAGTTTCTCTACCCTAAGGATATTGTGAAGTAATTCAATATGCAAGAGTGTCCTGCGTTCCACACAAACGCTGCTTGGTTTTGTTAGTGTTTGGATAACTTTGGTAGAGTATAAGCATTTTGGTGGAATTTTGTAGGAAATAGCAGCCAGCCTTTTAGAGGGGAGAAAAAATAAGATTCTGTTATATACATGCAAATGCGTATGGTTGTCTTTTAATACACAGTATAATTAATAGAAGGTTTTGGTTTACAATGTTAAGTGTGAAAACATCCTCAGGCAAAAATTAATCAAGTGTTATGTCATCCTGTAAACTACAGCTAGCTCTTTGTTTGACCCAAAAAATTTTGCCAAGCAGTAGTTTTTTCATGTCATACTAACTTGATTGTTTTATTTTTGTCTTCACCCCACTTTCCTGTCCCCCACCCCCCACTTCAACTAGTCAGACACTCCCAGAAAACTTTGGAAGTTTCAAATTGTCTCAATAGTTTTCCATCAAGCATGAATTTAAGCCTGAAGATAGATGAGGTGTCTGTCCTCTTTTCCTTCTTTTCCTTTTCTTTTTTTTTTTTTTTTTTTTTTGATAAATAACAAGAGGTTTCTACTTATGATTTTCTGCCCTCAGGGCTTTATCATTAAGATTAAATAACTGTACTCTCAAGCATACCACTGAACAAACATCTTTTCAATTATGTGAGTAACAGATGCTGTAACAAAGGAACTATTGAAAATTCAGAAAGCTTCCCCCCTCCCCAAAATTTAAAAAGTATCAGATGACAGAGGAATGTAATTGTTTACCATTAAAACAGATCCTTAACTGTCCATTCGAAACATCTGAGAGCATGCTGTTTTTTCAGAATTTCGTCAGGACTGGGTTTACAGCCCAGGAGACTTACTGGCCAGCACTGGAGTCACTGGGTAAGCGTGCTGGGCAACCCGGCGTTTCCTTCCAGTGACTACACACCAATGGGCTCTCTCCATGGTCGAAATTGTTTCCCAGCCTTCCTTCCACCCAGGATTTTGTCCCAGCAGGACTGGGGCATGCAGTGTGCTACCCATGGCCCTGGGGTGGGTGTCAGCCAGGCAGAGAAGAGCTTCCCATCCGCGCACCCCCTGTACTGGTGTTAATCGGCTCTCAGTGGGCACTGCGGCCGTGCACACGCGGGGTCCCAGCACTCCTAGCATCTGAGCTAGGTGTGCATCTTTGGTCAGCATCAGGCCAAGCGTGTTGGTCCCTCTTGGTGACTCCACTTCGTGACAACCAGCAGTAGGGAATGGCTCTGCTAGTGGAGACATGGCCCATTTTCTTACTGGGAGCTGAGCAGTCCCAGGAGGGTGCTGTGCAATGGGAGATGTGCCTCTCTCCTCTGCAGGAGCAGCACCAGGGCTGAGGAGTAAGTTGTCCCCTCTCACATTCCTCAAGTCTGCTGGGAATCTCCACCTTGTATTTTACTGCAGGGCTTTGCTAACATGGCAGGGGCTGCTATGGTTAGCCCAGCTTTGTGCAGTGGAGATGTGGCTCTGAGCTCCCAGGCCAGGTCAGCAGGATTTCCCTCTGGGAGACCTGCACCCTGCCAGCAGTGCAAAATGACATCTGTAAGCTTGTCTTGAGCACAGGGGCTGGGCGTTGCAGTGTGTGCAGACCATTTTGCACTATTGGGCAAAATACATGACTGCCTGTAGATGGAAAATGGTGACTGTGGCTAAAACAGAGGCTTGTCGTGATTTTGGTAGGTGACTTGGGGAAGCTTCTCGGTCCCCATCACCCTTCGAGTCTTTCCCATGCAGTAAATCTGGGATGGTTGTTCATTTCCCCCTGCTGAGTCGTAGGATGGAGAGTGTCTGAGCTTCCATCACCTGGCTGTGCAGCTAAATCAACAGCTGTGTTTGTAATGTCACTAATTTCCAGTTTACTTAAAACAAAGTGTCTTTGAATTCTCTTACAGCAATGCAGTTCCCACCTTTCAGCAGCGAGCCATTCTCATTACCCACCAGCACTCCCAGTGGGCTGTGAGGAAAGTTGTTGATGAAAGGATGAAAGAGCCATTTCTTTAAGGAAGGAAAGTTCTTTGGGAACAAAATTGAACTCAGACATATTTTGCCTTTGCTGATAAAATACATGCCAGTTTTGTACTTCAGACAAATGCAAATAATCCTATTGCTATTATATTCTGCACAAAAGCATGCAAGGCTTGCTTTCGTAACCCTGGATTGTACAATGCAGCACGGGGAAATCAGGCTGGAGGAACACACTGCTTGATTTCCTCATTGTGTTTTATATTCCCAGTTCAGAAAATAGGCTGAGATCTTAGAGCTTGGGTTATTCCCCCGCCTCTTCTCTGTGGGGAATTGGTCGCTGGTGCCCAGGAGAGCTGCCTGATGCTCCCGTCCATCCCCACCAGCTGATTGCTGTTGAAGGTGACTTGTTTCCTATGCTTGCGCCGACAGCATTGCCCCAAGATTTGTCCTTTTTAAAGAGCATCACTGCAAAAAAGAGAAGCCTTCTCTCGGGATCAGAGCTAGGGCATTCCTGCTGGTCGCTTCAAAAAACTGAATGTTTTGCCACCAAGTTTCTAGGGGGAGAGAATGGGGCTTTTGCAACTGAGGTTACTAATTGGGGCCACCCTGCTCTGGGGGCAGTGTGGGGCTCTCCCTGGAGCCACCTTGGCTCGGTGGCCACTTGTCCAGGGCTGTTTTCAGACCCCTGGCTGCCGGCAGCTCTGCCCCGCTGTTCTCAAGGACCTAACAGACGGTTCCCGATCAAACTGGGCCAGCTCCAGCAATGCCTTCAGAGGAAGGAAGGAAGGAGCAAGACCCACAGTGGCATAACATGCCCAGGAGGGAGGTGTTTTCTGAACTCCTACCAGCAAGGTGATTTGTTCCCTGTCCCTTCTTAGTGTTCCTGAAACTCTAAGCATTTAGTGTTCTCATGATTTACATTAGCATCTAATCCTTGCGTAATCTCGCTAATCCCTTGGCCCCCAGATACCCACTGGCAGTGAGTTCCACGGGTTAACTGGTGGCTGTATTCATTTGGCGGAGCAGATTTAAGTCTTTTTCCATTCCCATTGCAAACAGCTTCCTTAACCTTCTTGCCAAGAATGGAAACGGGGCAGCGTCTCCCGAGTAATGGGCTTTGGTATTTTACGTCCTTCCAAGATTATTCTTGTGGCTGAGAGGCTCCCTTGCGCACTGTTTTGTGTTGGGCTTGGAGCCCTTGAGAAAGCAAGATGATGTCAATGGGAGACATGCCGGAATATTTTATTCTGCCAGAAAGCAAGCAAAAATAACCACTGAAACAAACAGTATAAAAATACTGCAGGGGTTGTGATGAACTGCCTCCTGCCCTCCTTCCCCCTGTGCAGCCCATGGAGAGAGTGCTGTGTCCTGGGCATATGGTTCCTCCCTGGCCCGAGCACCCCACAATATCCACACACAGTGGGGAGAATTAGAGAGGAAACTGGCAGCCTTAACATTTAATTTCCTTCCTCTTTCTGGGTTGGTCAGATCCTTTGCATTATTGTGACTACTTTTTTTTATCATGTCTATAAATAGACGTGCTCTCATGTGTCCTGTGAAGCAGAGTTGGGCCAAAAAAGTCATTCGTTCTGCATAATCAATACATGAAAATGTAGTGCTTACTGGCTCAGATTAGACTTTGTATTGTTATTTCTATAGCTGGGAAAAAAATGTTGACTAATAAGGATTAAGGGTTTTTTTTTTTTTTTTCCTTTTTATGAAATGCTAATGATGAAGACATGTTTGATATACTGTGAAATACATTTCTCTAATGTGAAGTTTCTGCTTTTTGTTGGGAAAGAGATTCAGTCCCTGGAGGATTTTAGAATTTGTAAATATAAAATTATCTGCTTCAGTGTTTTTTAAAAAAAGCTTGGCAGAAAGCCAGATTACTTACATTACTGTAATAGATTTGCTGACCTCTGACATCTGCTGCAGAGAAGTACATTGAATTTTTCATAATATCAGATGATGCAGATCTAAAAACTGAGTACACTCTGCACCATTATTTAATTCAGGACTTAGTAAAGCAAAATCTTTTTTTGAGTAGCAGTTTATACGTGATTAAACTTAATATTGCCGATTGTAATAAATCAGGATTAGTATAGTACTGATTTGTTAATCTAACTTGTATTGATTTTAAGTTGTCTTTATTTAAAAAAAAAAAAAGGACTCGCTTTTCACAGTGACTGAATTTAATAAGAAGCTCTGTGATAGCAAAGACTCCCCTACTGTTTCTGCTCTTGGCTGGAAAATGTTATGCTTGTATTATTCCAGGAAAAAAAAAAAAAAAAAACTCATGCTGCTAAAAATCTGCTGCCTGTGGAAAGATTTTTTAATACACTAGTGCTTACATATTCTATTTATGTTAATTGACTTATAAATAATACATTTTATTAATCTTAATATTGGAATCTTGATCATGATAAAGACCCTTTTATTTGGTCTCCTCGCAGGCTTTACAAGTAAATATTCCTCAGCCCACAAAATACTGCCCCCCCCTTTCCTTCTTCACTGGCACTTTGATGCCCCCCGCGGGAGGTGGCCGCGGCTGAGGGCAGCGTGGGCGTTGTGCCGAGCGGGGCATGTCCGAGGCGCTGGGGCACACGGCGGTGAGCGCTGCCTCTGCCCTTCCTTGCGCAAAGATTGATTAAATCTTACCTGCGCTGCACATATTTGACAAAACCCTTGTGTTCTTTTCAGACATGTCACATTCTGCTAAACTATTTGGATAATAACGAATCGCATTCTTCCTGCGTTGGGCAATATTGACCTTAACTTGGCTGCGCAGCGAGCGGTAATGGCATGCGAGCCGGGGCCTTAACTGTTCCGAGAGCTGCGTTAGCTTTATTACCCTTGTGCTATAAAAACTTCTAATAATCAAATGATAAGATCATATCCTGTGGGTAATTGTGTTGTACCGTGACAGGATAACCGAAAAAACATTCAGTGAAAATCGTAACCAGCGGAAGTCTCGACGCACAGCAGCAGTTGCTGGTGTGGTTGGCCTTCGCGCGCACCTTCTCACCGGGATTCCCCCGCCGCCCCCAGCAGCCCCCCAAAACGGTCTTTGCGGCACGCGGGCCTCGCTGGAAGCGAGGAGGGAGCGCTCCTAGAACAAGCCATCCTTGTGTTTTGATTCAGTTTTACCTTAGTCATGCCTCCTTCCAGATACAAGAAACATTTAATTCCAGATTTCCTGCTGCTGGCTCCAGGCCTTTGACCGGCGATGTGAAATGTATTTTTACTGCTGTCGTACTGCCAACTGCTGAGCTCAGTGAAAAATAGCTAAAATGAAAATGTTGTACTCCCACGTGAACTCTTCGGATCAGAAAAGGAAATTTAAGGCACGGTCGCTAATTAGCGCCAAAGCTAATGAGTCCTGGTGAGGTGCACCACAAGGAGGAGGAGCCACCGTGCCGCAGCACCCCACGAGGCGAGGCTGGGTGGGAGGCCCGCCAGCCGCCTGCCGCCCATCGCCGCGGCTGTGGGGCTCGGCACACGGCCTCCTCACAGCGAGGGCCACCAGTGGGCCGTGGGCCGGGGGCCGTGGACCGTGGGCCATGGGCCGGGGCAGCCTCCTCGCCTGCTGACGGGACGCGGGCATTCGTAACGGGCAGTGGGTTCCCATGGAAACAAAACAGAGTCAAACAGTCCCCTCGCAGTGCGAGCAGGGATTGTCATAAAACGTGCTTTTATTAAAAGAGGTTTTAAATATTTAACACGTGGCAGGGCGACGTCGATGTAGCCCGGTGTGAAACCCGGCCTCGCCTCCAGCGATGTCCGGAGCGCTGTGTGCAGCGCGGGGAGGTATCCGGTGCTTTTACGAATATTTGTGCTCTGAGAGTGAAATTTAGCAGCCTCAAGTATGAACAAGATTATTTTTTTCTGATTCTGCTTAGTTATGCTTTTTATTATATAAACATTAACTGTAATATTACAGTGGGAAGCAGGTATTTGGCAACTACATATTATTTTGCTAAGTTTGCATAGAGGGAGCAGTTTCCAGTTTTAGCAGCTGTAACATGTTTAAACTCAGTTTGTAATGGGATCTGAAGATGAATATTCCCTGTGGGCTCTGCTTAGCTTCATTACTGGAGCCCTGCCAAATTCAGGGCTAGAAAGTATTATTCACGCCTCTTTGCACATACCATGTCAGAGCATGCTCAGTTAATGAATTTTGTTTCTAATATAGCTTAAATTAGGTTTATATTTTAACATAATTTATGTTGTATTTTATTAAAATGTAAAATATTATGATCACGAGCAATCTAATTTCTGCTCTCTTAAGCCCAAACTGTGTTTGAACATCTAAGTATGTAAATCAAAATTGCATGCTTAGGAACTGATTCTAGGATAACAAACGAATATCTGAACCAAAGAGGTTTCTGCCTTGGAGTCTTAGATTAAAGATAATTACGGATTCCTGGTATTTGAACAGATTTATGTTGTTTATAAGCAAAGTACATTTTCTTCATAGAGTCAACTTGTCTTTTTTTTTTAAACAAATTATGTTTGCTGTATTAAAGTTCATATTTTTAAAGTCTCAGTCTTGTATTAATCCCACAGTGAGTCATTAATCATACCAAATGCATTATAAAAACTTTAATCACTGAAGTTGAAACTGAGATTGTAATGCAATCCATCCCTTTTAATTATATCAGTTATTTTTCCTTTCAGATCAAGAATTGCAAAGGGAAAACAGATAGATTAAAACTCAAAGTGTTTGATGCTTTTGGGGGAGGATATTTTTTCTGTTTGTGTTTCTTTCTTTTTTAAAGCGATTTGGTATGCTTTGTGGAGGCAAGTTCCGCAGCTCAAAATTCCTTCACTTTTAACTCTTTTCCTCCGTCGTTCTTTCCTGTAAAAGATAAGACTCATTTGATAAGGCAGGGACCATGGTGACTGTCACTTTGCGCATGTGTTTGGAAGGGTCCGGGTGGGCTGGTGCTGAGCACGCTGTGTGCTGTGCCTGCCGTTGCAGGTTCTGCACTCTGATGTCTTCTACCCAGTTTCTGGCATTTACCCTTGCACTCAGGGAAACCTCCAGCCTGGGAACTGTGTAGCTGTTATCAGGTTGGCTCTGGCCTTGGAGGTGTTTTCCTGGGGTTTGCTGCATGCTTTTAAGGGTAGGGAGGAGAAATAAAAGCAAATGGTTGCTGTTTTTTTTGTTGTTGTTGTTGTTGTTTTTTTTAATCAGTCTGAAACATAGTGGCTCATATCATCATCTTTACTAATTGGTGTAGCCGCATAAACCACTGCAGCCTTACTGACAACTGAGACACACCAACTCCATGGAATTTACACCACATGATAATCTTGCCAAATAAATTGATTTATCATACTTGGATTTGTAGATGTAGAGTTTACAGTGTTGCTTTTATGCCATGGAAGAAAATAGATTTATTAAGTAAACCGCTCGTAGTAGATACATTTTTTTCTTTGCTAGAATGGCAAAACCTGATCAATTATTTGTTCCTTAATCCCCTAGATTAATCCTGCCGTATGAAAGATTTATTAAAGGAGAGGAAGATAAGCCACTGCCTCCAGTGAAACCTCGAAAACAGGATAACAGTTCCCAGGAGGGTGAAGTGAAAACAAAAGTGTCTGGAACAAAACGCATCAAAAATGAAAACCAAAAGAGCAAGAAAGAAAAAGATAATGCACAGAAACCCCAAGATGCATCTGAGGTTGGTTGCTTTCCCGCTTTTCAACTTTTCAATTAAAAATGTGCAGCTTTAATCACTCAAAATACAATGATAAAATGTGTAATCTAAACTGGAGGATTCCAACCAGTTGGCCTTTGAGTTTGTTCAGCAATGGAAGTTTCATTTATTGTGGTACTGTTTGTGTTGTGATTTCACTGGGCTCCAAACAGCCACCAGTTAACTTCTTATTGCCTGACAGTGATGGCAGAAGACCAAGCTCTGGATGTAACAAGTATCATTTCTGCTCATTGTATTATACAGTGGTCACCACGAAAAGATCAGCAGCTGCCAAAAGGAAACCACACAACTACCACAGTTATTTCCTAATCTAAGTATAGGGTACAGGAACCCTAATACTGCTGATAATGCTGTGGTAACTGTTGGATATAGCTGGTTTTTCTAGTGGTAACCTCTGGATCAGTGTTTCCATGCTTACAGATGTATGTACATGTCCACCAAAAGGATATCACTCCCCAGGATTTTTATTATGTTATACTGAATCTCGCTTTAGACTCAAAGGTTGGAGTTTGAGGGAAGCCTTAACTGAGACCGATGTCTCTCTCACATACCACAGCTGCTTTTCAGCTGAGATAGGTTCCTGTGCTGTCACCTGCTTCACATGGGCAGGCCCCGTTTTCCAGATAGAGCCACATTGTGTGCACCCATAGGACAGCTCTCATAAAATAGTATTTGTGTTCACAGCCCATGATTAGATAGATCAGTGGGATTCACATTTGTCTGCAGGTAAGGGCAAGTTTCATGTTCAGTGATATAAAACCAGTGGTTTTTTTGCTGCCATGTTTCTTAAGCACTTCTTTTGCCCATCCGAGCCATTCTGTCCTGTGCCCTCCATGCACCCATGTGTGAGTGAGGCAGTGAAGCTTCTTGCACACAACCCATGTGCAAGATTCTGCTTTTCCTGTCTCAGTCTGCCAGGACTGAGTATTTAAAGAATGTCTAGACACACGATGTGCCTGGCAGACTTCAGCTGCTCCTTTGCCTTCATTGTCATCTGGCAGGTACATAAGTCCTGTTTCTAAACCAGTTTGGAAATTAGTATTGAGTTAGCTACCAACAACCATCCTTCTTGTTGTTTAAAAAAAAAATCACAGAACCAGTAAACACAAATGCATCTGAGATTAGTGTTTCAATAACAAAATATTCTGATTTGCGTGTCCCACTACTGCTTCAAGTTGTGCTTACGATGACAAATGTCATCTCCTGTCCAAACCAGAATTTGTTTTAAATTGCCTTGATCAACAGCAGCTTTAATACTGAATATAAGAGCACTCCGCAGAGAGGGGAGGTTTTTTTGGTTTTCTCTTGCACCGTAATTGTACATCAGGGAAACCTGTTGGGGGAGAACCCCTCTGCTCCTGACTGAAAATAACCTAGAGAATGCACACAAGCCTCCTTAAGTCACTGGAAGGTCGCAATACAAATCGCCCAAAGCAAGGAAATGTGGAGTTAAGGCTTGTGCTCCCTTCCCCTGTCACTCCTTTGTGTCTGGTTGTTTACTGCGGGGTCTTGGATCAGCAAGATACCTCACATACTGTTGGTACTGCCACAGCTAAGCACAGCGTAACAAGCCAGCAACAGAGCGTCAGACTTAACTTTGAATTTCCTTGCTTTTGTTGTTCCCTATCTCAAACTTCCTGCTGCTTAAACTGCAGTTATTTTTGTATGTGGATCGCAGGAAGAGTTCTTAAGCTGCGCTTATCGGAAGCGTAAGGAGCCTGGGCGAGACAATGAAAATGTACAATTGTGGCAGTTTCCCATTGTAAATTGGTACCTTTCACAGCAGAGTTAATCTCTTCTCACTGACTGGGATGAAAGATGCCGTCCTGCCCCCAGTTTAATCAGGGTGGGCAATTAAGGACCTCATCCTTCACTCAGGTCACAGTTTGGGTGGTTACACGAAGACCAAGGAGGGAAGGGGCCCACAGGGGTGTGCGCATCCCTGGGGTGGGAACACAGCTGCAGCACCCATGGGTGCTGCTCCCCAGGGAGGGAACTGCCTGGAGCGAACTCCCGTGTAGGTGTGTAGGCATCGCCGCAGCCGTGGCACTGCTTCAACTGTTCCTGCACGTGGCCTCGGAGCTGGCTGTAGCAGTGGGCTGCAGAAGCGTACCACGCTACAGATGTGCAGTCCTCTCCATTGCATGTCCAACTCAGGCAGCATACGAAGGATGCGGGGAGATACTGTAACTCTAATTTATTAGGGTTGCATTTGCTTTTGTGCTCTTCGCTGTTTCCCTGCCATCACAATGACATTGTCAGTGTAACAAGATACCAGACAAAATGCTATTAGCCTTAGACTGCACATTTCCTCACAATAGCTGAGACTTCAATCAAAATGTTGCTTAACAGAAACAAAGAGCAGAATGTACAGTTATTAAATATGATTTCTCTCTTTTTTTTTTTTTTTTCTGCCTTGCTTTGCTCATCTGTCTGGTATTTTCCTGTAATTTTATAAGCTCAAGAGACTAGTGATATTACTTTGTAAAGGACCTAATGATGGTATTTGGACTGCAAAAGGCTGCTATTAGTTTAAAAAGAAGAAGTTACGATGACTAACAGACATTGTAACTAATAGGCCAACCAAACACACAGGAATATTTAAAAGCAGCTGCAAAGAAATAAATCTCGTGAGATGGTTAGATTTGTTAGGACCTTCTCCAGCCCCTCACTCCTATGACAGACCATAGAGCAGCACTTAGATAATAACTTTCTCGATGCGTCTTATCTTTACAACTAAGAAAGAAAGAAAACAATAATAATAAAGGGCTCACACAATGCTGCTGTTTTATGATTGTTTTATACCATGACATGTCAGAGGAGAGTGACAGCAGTTTTGAAAAGGGCTGTCAGTCAGCTGGATCGCAGATGGGACGCTCTGATGACCTCTGTGGGTCACAGTTCAGCCAGCGACATAATGGGATGAATAGTGTGAATTGTGCACACAAGCTGTATTAATGGGAGAGCAGAAAGAGCTGCAGGCCCATTGACGATAACGTATAAAAGCTATGTTTGTAATAGCGTGCACACACACTTACTGAATGTTGACAACTTCATTTTAATCCGTTAATAAAAAAATGTGTGTCCTAGTTAAGCTGCGGCAGTGATTTGCTGCCTACAATAGGGATTCCTAGTATGCCATTTCTATCATTTTCACACTTTAATGCAGAGCTGGGTGTGAATGATCTCCTCTGTGATCACTGAATTTTAAGATAGCCATTCTGGAGAGACTGCATTTTCGTCTTTATGTAAGAAAAAACATAGGATCTTTGTGCAGTTTTCATAGGTGAAGTTGGCTAGCAAGAGAAATTTCTATAGCCTTATTGTTTGTGCTATGAAATCTGCTCTTCTGCGTTTGCCTAATTAATTTCAAAAGAATATAACCTCAGTGTTTAGCTATCTGGTGAAGCCACTGGTGCCTCTAGTCAGGTTACAAACATCTGATATTCTGAAATGCCTTATTATGACACTGGCAGGGATGTTGTATTTCGTAATGTTTCCAGGAGGTACGTTTCTTTGTTTGACTCTGATACCTGGTATTAGAGCTCTTACATTCCAACAAGGTGATTGACAAGTACATCTCTAGGAGTAGTAAATAGTGTACTGTGTATGATCTTATTAACAGCCTGCCAAAATACACAGCATTCTTATTACTGTCTATTGTATCATTTTATTAGGTTTCATCAGAACAAGAGAAGGATCAGGAATCAGCAGACCAGAAAAATTTCCCGGAACATCCTACAGCGGGAGAGATGAAACAGCCTGTGCAAGGCCCTCCATCTCTTTTACCAGAGGCAGCTCGGCCTCTACCTCTGGAGAAGACAGATTTGACAGAAAACAGCTCGAACAGTGAGAAAGCCAAGGAGAATGTTCCTCACTCGTCCTCTTTCTCAAGTATATCTGTGCCCCCAGAAGAAGATACTATGCTGGATGCCACTGTCACGAAACAAATGCACCCCTCAACAGATGCCCTGGAAGACCCAAAGCTGGAACAAAGAATACACAAAGCTTTTAATGAGAGCTTAGAAAGCGAACCTTCAGAAATGCCCTTCACAGCTTTTCCAGTCCAACTGCCCACTCAAAGTGACATGGAAGATGACAAATTGCCAGAGATGGCTGATTACATTGCAAACTGCACGGTGAAGGTGGATCAGCTGGGAAACGAAGATATCCATAACGCACTGAAGCAAACGCCCAAAGTACTGGTGGTCCAGAACTTCGACATGTTTAAAGAAAAGGAGCTGCCTGGGTCCATGAATGAAGACTCCACTTTCGGTTACACACCACTGCTCTACTCAAAGGGTAACCCAGGCATCATGTCACCCCTAGCAAAGAAAAAGCTGCTGTCGCAGGTCAGTGGGGCAGCCTTGTCATGTAGTTATCCTTATGGTTCTCCTCCACCTTTGATTAGCAAAAAGAAATTGAGCAGCAGAGATGAACTGTCCTCAAGCATATCACAAGGTCCCCACATCCCGAATTCTGATCCCATAGCAATTAATAGGCCATCAGTCATACAACATGTACAGAGTTTTAAAACCAAGGAAGAAAGGAAATCAATTAATGACGTTTTTAAACATGACATGCTAAGTAAACCGGATCCTCAGCGCTGTGATTTTTCAAAACATCACCTCAGTTCTCTTGCTGAGTCGTACGTACCGAAGACAGATATCCAGGACTGCAAAGATAAAATGAGTGAGAAAAGGGCACTGCAGCACTCCCATGTGCCCACTTTCTTGGCAGATTTTTATTCATCACCTC